ATGACAACCTGCAAGGGGTCTACGTCAGCGAAAAAAAATTTGGGGGTCCATGAAATGAATATGGGGGTCCACGATAGTGGATCTCAACACATACACTGATAGTACCTATTTACTTACATCATACATCTTATAATATCAAAACATATACATTATTTATAAAAGTATTTATAGAAGTAAAAAATTTATTATATATGTTTATAAAATTGTGTAAGTTTTAGGATGTTGGTATTCGCTTTGTGGTCGCAATACATTTTGAACTTATAAAAACCTGAGAGTCGCAGTCTCAGAGCTCCGCTACCTTGCACTGACTTGTTCAATTCGTCACTCTATAAATACGAATGTGGGACAAATACGTGTATTCGTTTCCTGAATCTTGAAAAGGAAAGTGCTAAGAAAATATTTTAAAAAATATAAACAGATAGTATATCACACAAATTATAGTGAGTCAGTGTTATTTTGTTTGAGAGTGCTGGAGAAAAGTAAGTACATTATATTTTATTAAATTTTAGTTTTGTACTCGTAGTTAGCAAAGATAGATAAATTACGCCAATCATGACTTTAGTTATTAGTAGTTAAATATTCAATCATGCAAAATTACACGTACTCCTCAATAGTTTCTTTTTGAAAGTTTTAGCAATCGGTAATATAATTAATGTTTAATATTCAGCTGTTGGATTTGCCCACAGATGACTGATGCCATGTCCGAATCTAAAAAGAAATGTAGACAGTACAGTGTTGATTATTTGAAATTTGGCTTCATTCCATCATTGCCGGACAAACAATCGCCTATGTGCCTTTTATGCAACAAAGTTTTGGGCAATGTTGCTATGAAACCATCTAAACTGCAAGATCATCTGAGAAGATGCCCCCCTGATAAAACAGAGAAAGATTTGAAATACTTTCAAACACTCAAAGATAAATTTCAGAAGAGACCTACACTGGACGGAATGTTCGCTTCGACATCACAAAGAAATGATGATGGGTTGCGGGCGACTTACAATATCTCGTTACTTATAGCAAAATCCGGAAAACCGCATACTATCGGAGAAAAGTTAATTTTGCCAGCCGTTGAAGAGGTTTTAAAAACTGTTTTACATAAACCTGCATCTGATATCATTAAAAGAATTCCCTTAAGCAACAATACTGTTGAAAGACGTATTGATGAAATGAGTTCTGATATTGAAAGCTTCTTATGTAATTATTTGCAATCGACCCATTTCTCTATACAACTGGACGAGTCAACTTTACCTGATAATGCAGCATTATTATTGGCATATGTTCGTTTTATTATGAATCAAGAAATCTACGAAGAACTGCTCTTCGCAAGAACTTTGATAACCGACACTAAAGGTGAATCAATATTTCATGTTTTGAAGGATTACTTCATTGAAAAAGCAATTCCTTTATCAAATGTAATATCAGTAGCTACAGATGGAGCACCTGCCATGGTTGGACGTTATCGTGGATTTATAAGCTATTTAAAACAAAATGTGTCAGGGGTGTTAGCAATACATTGCGTCATCCATCGACAACATTTAGTTGCTAAAAATTTGTACGCTGGCTGTCGAAAGGCTTATGTATGACAAGATTTTTTGCACTTTTTGAGACTATTTTAGAATTTCTGGATACTAAAGATAAAATTTTAAAAGAAAATTTAATGAAGAGGAAAACAGACATCGCCTATTTAACAGATTTGTTTTCAAAATTTAATATGGTTAATTTGCAATTACAAGGCGACAGTTTAAATTTGATTAAAACAAAGTCCATCTTATCAGCGTTTCTTGCCAGAGTTAAACTAATGAAGCAAAATATTGGACGGAGCTAATTTTCTCAGTTCCCCAAATTGTCACAGACAAGCTGCCAGGTAGACGACGTTTCAACTTACGTTCAACATTTAAATGCCCTCTATTCAGATTTTAAATCTAGGTTTGAGGACATTTTGACTATGGTAATACCACCGTGGATAATTGATCCATATGGTGACATAGAAGAAACGAATGTCATAATACAAGAGGACCTGACTGAACTAAGTACAAACGAAGAACTTAAGGTTCAGTTTAAAAACGGATATCAGCAATTCTGGCTGCAATACAACATAGACACTAAAATTCGTTAATTTTTTGCCTACTTTTAGATAACTAACAGTGAAATTATTCTAGAACATACGTTTATGTTATAATTAATAAACGAACTCGCTTATTGTACTATTTTAAGTAAAAAACTTTTTTTTAATTATTTTTCACTTTTTTTTTATTTTATCCCTCTTATTTTTTTTTTCAATGCGGGCACTTATTCCCAATGCGGGCACTTATTGGTTAGACACCTGTTTATTTAATGTTACGTATATTTTACATAACAGATACAAAATTTTATTTTGAGTAGTTTTAATTTAAATTCAATTAATAAATATATAAATTAACATGTGTTTTTACAAGTTTTTAACACTAAACTTCACTACAGTTAGAAATTTACAGGAAATCAATATCAGGTAAGTAGGGGGTCTACCCAACACGGAAAAACATGGCAAGGGGTCTACGACACAAAAAAGTTTGGGGAACTCTGCTCTAAATCAGATCAAAGCTTTTGCGTTATAAGAAATATTTGAAAGTACAAACAATTCTCAATGGCCATTCTATAATGCTCATTTCTTGACAGATAAGATAAATGATATCCATTGTTGCCAAGTTGTACTTTTTTTGGGAGAAATACGTAATTAGAAATGAAGTTATTTGCAAAATAAAAGTCTTAATTTATTGTAAATGGCTTGTTTTATGAAAAGTTGTGTCAATATTTACCGAAAACTAGATGAAATTTTGAACCGTATGTGTCTAAGCAGTGGAAAATGCACCAGCGGCTGGCGTGACATAAAAAATACAAAAAGCACCAGCATATAAAAATACCCAACGACGATTCGTCGATTTGGACCACCTCGCCCGGTCCACCCAACATATCAGCGTCCAACATTATAGTTAAATAAAGATCAACAATCATTTCATCAAATCATCAAAAAACTTCTAAATTTCGAAGCCAGTTTACATTATTAGAAATTAAACCACCAACACGCAGACGTAGAGTGAGGACTGAAGAAAATATTGCGGCTGTATCCGCCAGTGTTAGTGATGACCGTGAAATGTCGATTCGCCGCCGTTCGCAGCAATTGGGCCTCTGTTACTCCACTACGTGGAAAATTTTGCGACAGCTGGTGCAAGAATTGAAGCCACACGCCTCCCACAACGTTTCCAATTTGGTGAATGGGCGCTGGCAAAGTTGGAGGAAGACCAACATTTTTATCGAAAAATTGTGTTCAGCGACGAAGCTCATTTCTGGTTGAATGGGTACGTTAACAAGCAAAATTACCGGATCTGGTGTGAAGACCAGCCAGAAGCATTGCAAGAGCTACCAATGCATCCCGAAAAAATCACTGTTTGTTGTGGATTATGGGCCGGTGGCATCATCGGGCCGTACTTCTTCAAAGACGACAATGGCCGGAACGTGTAACTGTGAATGGCGAGCGCTACCTGCGATGATAACAAACTTTTTTTGCCCAAAATGGAAGAGCTGGACTTGGCTGTCATGTGGTTTCAACAAGACGGTGCCACATGCCACACCGCACACGAAACAATGGCTCTATTGAGAGGCGAGTTCGGTGAACAGTTTATCTCACGTTTGGGGCCCGTCAATTGGCCGCCTAGATCGTGTGATTTAACGCCGTTGGACTATTTCTTGTGGGGACATGTTAAGGCTAATGTCTATACGGATAAACCAGCAACGATCGACGCACTGGAAGCCAATATTGACATGTCCCCACAAGAAATAGTCCAACGGCGTTAAATCACACGATCTAGGCGGCCAATTGACGGGCCCCAAACGTGAGATCAACTGTTCACAGAACTCGCCTCTCAATAGGGCCATTGTTTCGTGTGCGGTGTGGCATGTGGCACCGTCTTGTTGAAACCACATGTCAGCTAAGTCCAGCTCTTCCATTTTGGGCAAAAAAAAGTTTGTTATCATCGCACGGTAGCGCTCACCATTCACACTTACGTTCCGGCCATAGTCGTCTTTGAAGAAGTACGGCCCGATGATGCCACCGGCCCATAATCCACACCAAACAGTGATTTTTTCGGGATGCATTGGTAGCTCTACAATTCTTCTGGCTGGTCTTCACACCAGATCCGGTAATTTTGCTTGTTAACGTACCCATTCAACCAGAAATGAGCTTCGTCGCTGAACACAATTTTTCGATAAAAATGTGGATCTTCCTCCAACTTTGCCAGCGCCCATTCACCAAATTGGAAACGTTGTGGGAGGTCGTGTGGCTTCAATTCTTGCACCAGCTGTATCTTATAAGGTTTTACACCCAAATTCTGTCGCAAAAGTTTCCACGTAGTGGAGTAATAGAGGCACAATTGCTGCGAACGGCGGCGAATCGACATTTCACGGTCATCACTAACACTGGCGGATACAGCCGCAATATTTTCTTCAGTCCTCACTCTACGACTGCGTGTTGGTGGTTTAATGTCCAATAATATAAACTGGGTTCGAAATTTAGTCACAAGCTTCCGAATAGCTCCCTCAGTAGGCCGACCAAATTGCCCATAAATTGGAAGCAGTGCTCGATTCACTCTCTTAACCGAGCATGAATTTTGATAGTAAAATTGAATAATTTGCAAGCGTTATTCGTTTGTAAGTCGATTCATGGTTAAATTATAGACCAAGTTTCACAATGACACAAGACACGATTCACGCGTCATCTGTCAAAAACAGTGTTGCCAAAAAGATAATAGCAAAAAAATCACCCATTATATTCGGTCATCGCGTTATCAACCGTTTTGGAGACGTTCATTGGCCAGCCATAATTACATAGGCCAAACAGATCCAATTAAGTATTTAGTTTATGCAACTTTTGTATGACACCGTCGTTGAAATCATTATTAGAGTAAAAAAACTTACCTTGGAATAGATCTGCTTGCTGAAGGTGACCCTCTTCTGGTTGGATTTTTTCAGAGGAGGACTCTCGTAGAAGTCTTCCTCCTCGATGGTGAAGTCGAAGGAATTATCGTAACTCTCGAGTTCCATCTGAAAAAAATAATAACAATTTAAATAAAAGACATCAATTAGTTATTTTGCTATTACAGTCAGAGATATCCACCATAAGTATCATTCTAAAGGCGAAATTCAGAAAGAAATATACAACATTTGAAAATAAATCAGACTTAGCCGAGTTCAAAAGGATTAGACAACTAGTAAAATCTAACACAAAACAACCTTGCAGTTTTTATTATTGAAAATACCCAAAAGTCATTACTTGTTAATCCAAAAAGGATTTGGAAGTTTGTTCGTTCCAGAAACGACATACCATACGAGGGATCAAAAAATGTGTACAGCATTGTTAGTGGTGATGAATCGTGGATTTACTGTTATGAACCAGAAAATAAACGACAGTCGGCTGTTTGGGTGTTCCAAGGTGAAGAAAAGCCAACAAAAGTCATCCGTTTAGAAAAAAATGGTCGCGACATTTGCGTCAAAAGCAGGTCATATTGCAACAATTCCTCTTAATGAGCAAAGAACTGTTACTATGGATTGGTATACCACCATTTGTTTGCCAAAGGCCATCACCGAACTTCGAAAAATCAACCCCGAAAGAAGAAACATCCTCCAAGACAATGCAAGCTCGCACACAGCCCAAATAACAAGGCAGTATTTAACGGAAGAAAACGTGGAATTATTGGACCATCCTCCATATAGTCCCGATCTAAGTCCTAACGATTTCTTTACTTTCCCGAAAATTAAAAACAGACTGCGTGGTCAAAGGTTCCAGTCAGCAGAAGAAGCAGTTGACGCATGCCGTTTTGGATCGGCCAGCAAACGAGTGGAATAAGTGCTTCGAAAATTGGTTCGAGCGCATGCAGATGAGTATTAATATTCATGGAGAATACTTCGAAAAACAATAAAGTCATTTAAAACTACCTACCGTGTTGTTTTATTTCCACATGCAAAACTTAAAAGACATCCCTCGTAACTGCGTGAGCCTCAAGTCATAGAGAATGCTTTTACAAATTTGTTCGAGAGCGTATATTCTAATGTTTCCTACACCAAAAGTAAGCGTGCCAGGAATAAAAGCTCATTTATTCAATTTACTCCTATGAAGGAATCTGAAATTCTGTCCACTATTAAGAAACTGAAGAACAAAATGACATCTAGTCAGGACAATATACCATCATTTTTAATCAAGGATACTGCCTCAGCGATAGTTACTCCTCTCACCTTTTTACACAACGTATGCTTAAAAACCAATACTTTTCCAAATATGTGGAAAGTAGCGAAAGTATTTCCTGTGTATACGAGCGGTGACAAAAATGATAATACTAATAGGCATTTGTCAATTGTGACTATGTTTGCAAAGATCTTTGAGATAATTTTGCACATCCGCATTTATATGGAAACTGATAATCAGCTCTCATTTTATCAGCATTGATTCACTGCCAAAAGATCTGTTATCACTAATTTACTGATAGTTACTCAATGCATATCAGAAGTTCTTGATGATAGATGTAATATATATATACCAAAAATAGGAAAATAATGAGCAAAATCCGCAAAAAGTGGATTCAAGCAGAAAATAGGATAGGTAACCCGAGCGATATGTATTTCTGCTGGTTGGCTTCATCAGGCCCGAAATGAATGCACATATGCAACTACAAAAGTAGAGACACATGCCCATACATCCGGATACGGGTGTAAACTGAGGAAACAAAGATGGAGAGGAAAAAAAGACACACGAAGTCCACAACAAGAGCCAACCTACACATTGTAGTATGAAATGGCTAGAAGACCTCGAATTTTCAAGGCGACAAATAACCACAACCACGCGGCCGGTTATAGCCACTTGCTGTGGTACTTCAAGCCCAAAGGATCTACAAAGAGTAAATTATCATGCGGAGACAGGTGTATAACAAAAATAGGAAAATAATGGGCAAAATCCTCAAAAAGTGGATTCGAGCAGAAAATAGGATAAGTAACCCGAGCGATACGTATTTCTGCTGGTTGGCTTCATCAGGCTCGAAATGAATGCACATATGCAACTACAAAAGTAGAGACACATGCCCATACATCCGGATACGGGTGTAACCTGAGGAAACAAAGATGGAGAGGAAAAAAAGACACACGAAGCCACAACAAGAGCCAACCTAGACAGCAAGTGGCTCTAACCGGCCGCGTGGTTGTGGTTATTTGTCGCCTTGAAAATTCGAGGTCTTCTAGCCATTTTATACTACAATGTGCAGGTTGACTCTGGTTGTGGACTTCATGTGTCTTTTTTTTTCCTCTCCATCTTTGTTTCCTCAGGTTACACCCGTATCCGGATGTATGGGCATGTGTCTCTACTTTTGTTGTTGCATATGTGCATTAATTTCGGGCCTGATGAAGCCAACCAGCAGAAATACGTATCACTCGGGTTACCTATCCTATTTTCTGCTCGAATCCACTTTTTGAGGATTTTGCCCATTATTTTCCTATTTTTGTTATATACCTTTCTCCGCATGATAATTTTCTCTTTATATATATATATGGATTACGCTAAAGCTTCTGATAAAATTGATAATAGCATTATGGTTGACAAATTAATAGATTTGGAATTTTCTGATGAGGCCGTGAAGTTTATGATATCATTCTTGACAGATCGAAAACAACTTATCTCGTATAACTCGGAAGCCTATGGAGCTATATCTGGAGTACCGCAGGGATCAAACTTGGGACCGTTACTTTTTCTAATTTTTATAAATGATTTATTGGATGCTTTAACAGTAGAAAAACTTGGTTTTGCTGATGATTTAAAAATATATCGCATAATATCTAATGTCACTGATTGGAACTTCAGAGACAGCTTGACCTGATTCAGAACTTGTGTAACGATAATAAATTAACACTAAATGTAGATACTTGCAAGGTGGTGAGTTTCACCAGAAAGAGAGAATTCATAAATGTTAAATATAATATTGATGGAAAGAACAGATATACAGAGGTTAGGTGTTATGTTCTATTGTAAGTTGTCTTTTTCTAATCATAATGAGAAAACTGTATTTGAAGTATTGAGAGCCTATGGGTTTTTGACAAGGAATTGGAGAAGTTTTGACAATATCAGCACTATTAAAGGGCTTTACTTACACTAGCTCGAAACTTGGATATGCCAGCATTATATGGGATCCGAGATGTACAACATTTGTGTTGAACCAATTCAGCGAAAATTTCTTAAATCTATCGCCTTTAAAGTTGGTGGTATTTATCCGGAAAGTGGATTCATTAGTTGTCAGCTATATAGATGATTTTAAATACCTAGTTTAGAAGACACTTTACGGCGGCGTCGTTTTTATTTAAATTGCTGCATGGATATGCTGATTGCTCTTGCTGTGCCTCCATATTCATCTCGGCTTAATGCGACATTTAAGCTACCTAGAGCTAAGACTAATATGTTATTTAAGTCTCCAGTCTATATTATGTGTGGTAAATTAAACTGTATGTCCAGCCGTTGTGATATATTTTTCTGTATACTGAATGAGTTTATCAGAACAGCAAAGAAATTATGGAACAAATTTTGACTTCTAGTTTTTGGTTTAATTACCTGCATCTCTGTTTAGGGTTTTATTATAATATAGCATAATTATTTTTACTGTTATTACATTATGCTGATTTCCCATAATGCTTCTCAAAGTTTTTGAAACCACCAAAAAACGGGGAAAATCGTAAGTATCACTTTGAACATAACCCCTCTTCAGAAAGGACAACATAAATAACCCGTCCGACACAGCTAATAGTGATATATTTCACGCGCAGCATATACGTATACAGTGATAATGCTCTCACATAGCAAATATCACTGATTTTATACACATGCAGACCAATACATATATACGTAATCATACAGATGCGGTATTGCTACTCAACCAACTTGCTTTCTTTCACATATCAGAGATAAACGCTACTTGGTTTTCTGCAACCAACAATGCATGCTTGAGCGTGTCGTGTCGTTGAGTCATTCCTCCGTAGATGGTCGCTTTTCATGACGCTCACAGCGATCATAGAGAATAAACGCGAAATGTACTATTTACTAGAAACCAGCTAGGCAGCATATCGTTTTTTTTTTGACGTTTTATAGGTTTTTTACGTAATAACTCTGAGGATCCACGTTGGGGATAAAGTGCATCAGTCTTAGAAGCCATATACTTAAGACATTTCTTTACTTGGCCAAATTATCGGTACTCATATCGGCCTTCTATAGAAGACTCTGGAATTTCTTGAATTCGCGGTAATATCAAAGTGAACCAAGTGATGGTAGCAGCGCCGAGATTGTAAAATAACAGGTGGTCCGCATATTGCAACGGACGCACTCTACCAGCCACTCGTCCCTTCTGCCAAATGGTTTACCACTAGCAATGTTGCCAAGTTTACGGCCTTAGCAACCAGGGCCCCGAATCAAATTCATACATTTTCATGCAATTTATATACGAGCCCCTTCCCACTTCAGTTGGCCCACTTCAAGATTTGTACCAAAATATGCCTTTATAAACTAACCATGACGAAACTATTTACTTCTAAAACAATTTATTTTCTCAACAACATTTTAGATACACTCTAGTCGTAAAAAATATATATTCGAAATCACTTAGACCTATAACTAATAGAAAATCTGAACAAATAAACAATGCGCGAATAAATTTCGCGAAGTTAACAAAGCAACAATTGAAAGATTACCATTGGGTAACATCACCTTTATTTTTTATTACGGCTGAAATTCTTTGGGGCATAGTGTTAACCAAGTGTTGGTAAAAATTTGGTGTAAAACAATCCCATATTTCTTGAAGATTTTGTCTCAGTTCGGTGATTGTACGAGCAGGATGTTGTCGTAGAACCTTTTTCATCTTGTGCCACAAAGTTTCAATAGGTGACAGATCTGGACTGCTAGAAACCCATCTCAAAAGCGGTACATTATTTTCTTCCATCCATTTTATACAGTTTTTTAAGGTATGGCACGCTGCACCATCTTGCTGAAACACAAAATCTTGGCTGGATGTCAAACATTC